TATTTAAAGCGGCGTTGACCCAACTCACCCACTCACCCATTGAAATTGTAATTCTGAAGAGCCAGAATCAGCCTGTTTGTAGTCGGATGTTCACTAGGATACAGTTATGTTTAATTTATAGATCACGCTAAATAAGACGGTATCAAAGATTCCGTAGATATTTACAATACGATACCACGCTTTAGAACGACGATACCCCCTAGCCTCTCATTCATTATACACGGGACCCGATCAAGATACATTTATTGGTTGAATACAGATACAAGGATTATATCAACATAGTTAACATTTGTTTATTCATTAGTCGAATGGTTCTACCTCAGTTAATCAAGCCTGCACGTTATTGTTGGAGCGTACATGGAGATAACCTACTTAGACCGTGAAACTCCGCAGAGGCGACCGATACCGTTATCGTTCGCTCTTCACGCTGCATGCCCAGGTTTGGTTCGGGCATGGATAGAATAAATGTCCCCTGTCGTTTAACTGTACAACTATTCCTAAAAAGACGTAAAATACTACTTTCTTTCGTTCCCTTTTTAATATTTTATTTTACATTACTACGTTCCCTCTGTCGCGATCCTTTTGACGCCGGATCAAGATCCTTTCGCGACTCCATCGCGATCCTTTTGACGCCGGTACCGGATCCTTTGGCGTTTCCATCGCGATCCTTTTGACAAGGAAACTGACCTATACATATTAAAGGAAACTGACCTATACACATTAAAGGAAACGGACCTTTACAACGACACTGACCGATACAAGGAAACTGACCGATACAAATAAACTGGGCCACAAAGATAATTATCGTCAGCAAACAAATTACTCATCAATTCCAATCGATTATTGATGAAGTTCATTAATCAAAATGAAAAACATCATTGATTGCCTATTGATTGCCCTACAAGGAAGTATACCCGGAGAGACGCTAGCTGGTTTTCCCCGACACAGTGTCAGGACTCCGTGTTGACGCCTCAGTTCTACACCTGTGTTGTAAGTGAGAATGAGAGTTCATCGATGAGGAACTGATGTCAGCACTGATCTCTTCCAGGAAGTATCAGTCGACACATCTGAACACCGTAGGCAGGGGTACAGTGGGGGAGTCAGGGGATGTCGTTAATGCCACAGTCAGCAATATTCTATTAATATCATGACTGTTTGTTGATAATCGAATCTGGATCGGGCAAACCAGACAATAAGGCATGGGCACTGGGACGGGCAAACCAGACAATAAGGCATGGGCACTGGGACGGGCAAACCAGACAATAAGGCATGGTCACTGGGACGGGCAAACCAGACAATAAGGCATGGACACTGGGACGGGCAAACCAGACAATAAGGCATGGACACTGGGACGGGCAAACCAGACAATAAGGCATGGGCACTGGGACGGGGAAACCAGACAATAAGGCATGGACACTGGGACGGGCAAACCAGACAATAAGGCATGGTCACTGGGACGGGCAAACCAGACAATAAGGCATGGACACTGGGACGGGCAAACCAGACAATAAGGCATGGACACTGGGACGGGCAAACCAGACAATAAGGCATGGGCACTGGGACGGGGAAACCAGACAATAAGGCATGGACACTGGGACGGGCAAACCAGACAATAAGGCATGGGCACTGGGACGGGCAAACCAGACAATAAGGCATGGGCACTGGGACGGGCAAACCAGACAATAAGGCATGGGCACTGGGACGGGCAAACCAGACAATAAGGCATGGGCACTGGGACGGGCAAACCAGACAATAAGGCATGGACACTGGGACGGGCAAACCATACAATAAGGCATGGGCACTGGGACGGGCAAACCAGACAATAAGGCATGGGCACTGGGACGGGCAAACCAGACAATAAGGCATGGGCACTGGGACGGGCAAACCAGACAATAAGGCATGGGCACTGGGACGGGCAAACCAGACAATAAGGCATGGGCACTGGGACGGGCAAACCAGACAATAAGGCATGGGCACTGGGACGGGCAAACCAGACAATAAGGCATGGGCACTGGGACGGGCAAACCAGACAATAAGGCATGGGCACTGGGACGGGCAAACCAGACAATAAGGCATGGACACTGGGACGGGCAAACCATACAATAAGGCATGGACACTGGGACGGGCAAACCAGACAATAAGGCATGGGCACTGGGACGGGCAAACCAGACAATAAGGCATGGGCACTGGGACGGGCAAACCAGACAATAAGGCATGGGCACTGGGACGGGCAAACCAGACAATAAGGCATGGGCACTGGGACGGGCAAACCAGACAATAAGGCATGGGCACTGGGACGGGCAAACCAGACAATAAGGCATGGGCACTGGGACGGGCAAACCAGACAATAAGGCATGGGCACTGGGACGGGCAAACCAGACAATAAGGCATGGGCACTGGGACGGGCAAACCAGACAATAAGGCATGGGCACTGGGACGGGCAAACCAGACAATAAGGCATGGGCACTGGGACGGGCAAACCAGACAATAAGGCATGGGCACTGGGACGGGCAAACCAGACAATAAGGCATGGGCACTGGGACGGGCAAACCAGACAATAAGGCATGGGCACTGGGACGGCCAAACCAGACAATAAGGCATGGACACTGGGACGGGCAAACCAGACAATAAGGCATGGGCACTGGGACGGGCAAACCAGACAATAAGGCATGGGCACTGGGACGGGCAAACCAGACAATAAGGCATGGGCACTTGGACGGGCAAACCAGACAATAAGGCATGGACACTGGGACGGGCAAACCAGACAATAAGGCATGGACACTGGGACGGGCAAACCAGACAATAAGGCATGGGCACTGGGACGGCCAAACCAGACAATAAGGCATGGACACTGGGACGGGCAAACCAGACAATAGGGCATGGGCACTGGGACGGGCAAACCAGACAATAAGGCATGGTCACTGGGACGGGCAAACCAGACAATAAGGCATGGGCACTGGGACGGGCAAACCAGACAATAAGGCATGGACACTGGGACGGGCAAACCAGTCAATAAGGCACTGGAGTCACCGGGCCAAACCACCCGAGTCAGTTTAGTCGCCTATTACAAGTAGTGGCGTGCTGGGTACCTTTTGTAGCCCGGATGTAAACAGGTACAGCAGGGTGGAAGAGCTCTGATTTTAGCGGGGCGGTCGGGTAGCCGAGTGGTGAAAGCGTTCGCTCGTCACGCCTAAGACCCGGGTTCGATTCCCGACATGGGTACAATGTGTGAAGCCCATCTCTGGTGTCCCCCGCCGTGATATTGCTGGAATATTGCTAAAAGCGGCGTAAAACCATACTCACTCACTCACTCTGATTTTAGCATACAGTGAAATCCCGTTATTCCGGAAAACTCGCCACACCGACACATTCTATTTGGAACGCCTTTTGCATACCCAACGGGACAGTTCTCCACATCCAAGATAAGTTAATCATGCCATTTCTCAAATAGTCGTCCTCATTGACAAGGGCACACCTATGTACATAAATTACCAAATCCAATCATCAACTTTGGCACGAATAACATTCGTTAACTCATTGTAATGGTAACAAGAACAATGTTACTTGACGAATCTGCTTGTGTGTGGGGTTTTGAATAGAGTGAAGTTGGGAAACACTTTCCTCCGGGACCGCCTCCGTTGTCTATTGGTCGATCGCGTCATAGGACCGCCTCCGTGGTCTAGTGGTCGGTCGCGTCATAAGACCGCCACCGTGGTCGAGTGGTCGGTCGCGTCATAGGACCGCCTCCCTAGTCTAGTGGTCGGTCGCGTCATAGGACCGCCACCGTGGTCTAGTGGTCGGTCGCGTCATAGGACCGGCTACGTGGTCTAGTGGTCAAGTCGCGTCATAGGACCGCCTCTGTGGGCTAGTGGTCGGTCGCGTCATAGGACCGCCTCTGTGGTCTAGTGGTCGGTCGCGTCATAGGACCGCCTCTGTGGTCTAGTGGTCGGTCGCGTCATAGGACCGCCACCGTGGTCAAGTCGCGTCATAGGACTGCCTCCGTGGTCTAGTGGTCCGTCGCGTCATAGGACCGTCTCTGTGGTCTAGTGGTCGGTCGCGTCATAGGACCGCCTCTGTGGTCTAGTGATCGGTCGCGTCATAGGACCGCCTCTGTGGTCTAGTGGTCGGTCGCGTCATAGGACCGGCTACGTGGTCTAGTGGTCAAGTCGCGTCATAGGACCGCCTCTGTGGGCTAGTGGTCGGTCGCGTCATAGGACCGCCTCTGTGGTCTAGTGGTCGGTCGCGTCATAGGACCGCCTCTGTGGTCTAGTGGTCGGTCGCGTCATAGGACCGCCACCGTGGTCAAGTCGCGTCATAGGACTGCCTCCGTGGTCTAGTGGTCCGTCGCATCATAGGACTGCCACCGTGGTCTAGTGGTCTAATCGCGTCATAGGACCGCCTCCTTGGTCTAGTGGTCGGTCGAGTCATAGGACAACCTCTGTGCTCTAGTGGTCGGTCGCGTCACAGGACCGCCACCGTGGTCTAGTGGTCGGTCGCGTCATACCAAAATACGTTGAAAGTGGTACTAATCGTTTCCCTGCCTGACGCTCGGCATTGAGGAGATGAAACAAGGACTGGTCGACTCCGAGTCAGGATACTGTATCTGAGTAGGGTATCCATGGTATGGTATCTCAGCGGGCTAGCTCTATACAACTAGTCTGGACTGGGACCAGCAGCCACACACACGTGCATGCACGTCGCTCTATACCTGCAATAATCTTGAACGTGACGTCAAATCCCGTTACACCTCACCTCACCTCACCTCACCTCACCTCACCTCACCTCACCTCGCATCCCTTGCGGACAAATGCCACTTGGGACGTCTATGTTTTCATACAAAGGTACCGTTCTTAAGATTTGTTAATCCGAGCGCTTAATACTCCTGACAATTTCTCTGAGGAAAAGTGTCTGGATTTAAGGGGTTCAGTGTGTACAGTGTTACATTCACATCAATACTGCAGAAACATGATCTGGTTTTCATAACATTCTCTTTTTCCCAGGAATCGCCTGTGGCTTTTAACGGGACTCCAAGTGACCTTGAAACGTGGTCCCCAAAGAGTTGTGACAGATCTCCGGACAGTGTGACACAGGACAACGTGACACTGTACAAGATAACCAACGCTGCCGTGACAGGCATACAATACAACGCTGTGATTAAGCTCTTGTAACGCTCGTTTATTCTTCCCCATCAGTCAGTTACCCTTTGTATCAGATAACATACGGGTGCGCAGCGGGTGCCAGGGTACATCTGTACCACTTGTCCTCTACAGAAGAACATTTTCAATTCCAGCGTGACAATTGTGGCGCCGTCAGGAAGAGAAAAAAGACATTAGCTATCATATAACTTCTGGTGATCCTTGGGTCCCCATGTGACTGTCAGCGTATACAAGAGCTTTGGATTCAAGAGTTCAAACGTCAACGCTTGATTGAGCATTACACCTGTTCGAAGGAACTAAACATTGACACGTGACGGATAGGTGCAGTCACGTGACGTATGTCTGAAGCGACCTGTGTGAAGGTGGAGGACGCCGTCACTTCGTGCGACATGACGACGGGGAGGCTGGCCGCTGGGTTTACTGCGGATGATGGCGAGGATGACATACCCGATATTCCTGTACTCAAGGTAGGTTCACGGGTAGAAATGTCACGTTGTGTGCACATGATGCCGGGTAGGTTCACGGATAGAAATGTCACGTTGTGTGTACATGGTGCCGGGTAGGTTACGTGTGGAAATGTCAAATGGTGTGTACATGGTGCCGGGTAGGTTACGGGTAGATATGTCACGTTGTGTGTACATGGTGCCGGGTAGGTTACGGGTAGAAATGTCAAATGGTGTGTACATGGTGCCGGGTAGGTTACGGGTGGAAATGTCAAATGGTGTGTACATGGTGCCGGGTAGGTTACGGGTGGAAATGTCAAATGGTGTGAACATGGTGCCGGGTAGGTTACGGGTAGAAATGTCAAATGGTGTGTACATGGTGCCGGGTAGGTTACGGGTAGAAATGTCAAATGGTGTGTACATGTTGCCGGGTAGGTTCACGGGTAGACGTGTCACGTTGGGTGTACATAATTCAACTAAGGTAGGCATACCATTTCGGGTAGGTTCACGGGTAGGTGTCCGTGTGACAAGATCACTTTCCAGCTGACATATTATACCTGAACGCTTGCCTTTCCAAGCTACTTTTAATGTGTACAGTGTGTGAACCCCGCCCCGTCGCGACTCAGGAAACACATGTCACTGTGTACTTGACGTAATACCCTCAGTTTTGAGGGTCCAATGAATCGCGATAGTGAGTTAGTGAGCGCTTTTAACAGTATCCCAGTCATATCACGGCGTGTCAGATTAATGTGGGAGGAAAGCCCGAAGTGATGCAGGTCTCAGACGTTTACCACTTCGGTGAAACCCACGAGCACGGGTATAGTGCTGACAAACAGAGAAATATTATTGAGTCGAACCGAGATTCGAACCCACAATTATAGATTTCTGGCCAAGGGTGTGTTGTGATATGTCACAGACTCAAGTTTTGACCATCCTTGTTCAATTATCTGACGATCCAAAATAAATGAGACAGTTGAGACACAAGCGATCAATCTCAAAACATGCTTTGTCATGATGATTTAACAGATTTGACCACTTCCTAATATTTGTACAGTTAATGGTTAACAGGCAGTTTTGAACATGGGTTGGCTACTGTATTTACTTATGTATTTATTTTTGGTGGAGATATTGTAATGTGTATGTGTGTTTATGTGTGTACGTGCGTGCGTGCGTGTGTATGTGTGTATGTGTATACGTGCATGCGTGTGTGTGTATGTGTGTACGTGCGTGTGTGTGTATGTGTGTACGTGCGTGCGTGCGTGCGTGCGTGCGTGTGTATGTGTGTACGTGCGTGCGTGCGTGCGTGCGTGTGTATTTGTGTACGTGCGTGCGTGCGTGCGTGCGTGCGTGTGTATTTGTGTACGTGCATGCGTCTGTGTGAATGTGTGTACGTGCCTGCGTGTGTGTGTATGTGTGTACGTGCGTGCGTGTGTATGTGTGTACGTGCGTGCGTGTGTGTGTGTGTATGTGTGTACGTGCGTGTGTGTATGTGTGTGCGTGCATGCGTGTGTGTGTATGTGTATACGTGCGTGCGTGTGTGTGTGTGTATGTGTGTACGTGCGTGTATGTGTGTGTATGTGTGTACGTGCGTGCGTGTGTGTGTATGTGTGTATGTGTGTACGTGTGTGTGTATGTGTACGTGCGTGTATGTGTGTGTATGGGTGTACGTGCGTGCGTGTATGTGTATGTGTGTACGTGCATCTGGATGTGTGTGTAATAGCTGACCAGACAATAATCAGAGCTTTACCCCTTAAGAACGTCCCTGACAATCTGCATAAACTAAGTGTAAAATACATATATAACTAAATACAGGGACGCAGGCAAGGCCGGACGTATCAGACCTCATATCATGACGGGGGCGGTCGGGTAGCCCAGTGGTTAAAGCGTTTCCTCGTCACGCCGAAGACCCGGGTTCAATTCCCGTAATGGGTACAATGTGTGAAGCCCATTTCTGGTGTCCCCCGCCGTAATATTGCTGGAATATTGCTGAAAGCGGCGTAAGACCATACTCACTCCATGATATCATGTCGAATAAAGCGGGTAATCTTTACTATCAGAAAGGTAAACTAAGACAATTCTAAAGTTTGCCACATCTACGAGCGAGTGACGTAACATCAAACATCGCATCTGTAATATCTCATCCAGATAGTGGCGACCATGTCAATAAACATTATTCCCTTAAGTAACCCAACAAGTATGATAACGATTGTAAGTCCTTTCGTTATGTAATCCACATTTTGATAGACCTGGTCAAGTTGTCCTGCTCTGGACACGTACAATGCCAGTTCTATCCTTCCTGCCCTACTGTCGGCGTCTTGTGATGGGGGAAATGGCATGGGATGGGTTGGCTGGAACACTCTTTGTCGTGACCCGTAAATATCCGGGTAGAATAGGTCTTCAATAACCCAGGCCTGCTGTAAAAGGCGACTCTGCTTGTCGTAAGAGGCGACAAACGGGATCGGGTGGTCAGGCTCGCAGATTTGGTTGATGCATGTCATCGTATCCCAACTGCGTGGATCGATGTTAATGATGTCAATCACTGGATTGTCTGGTTTAGAATATTGCTGAGTGCGGTGTTAAACAACATCAAACCAACAAAGACACTGTTTGTAGGCCAATATAGACACGGATCCAGTGTCAAGTTCCTACATCAAAGTGTACAGCATTGTGGTACGTTTCTATAGACTCTCGTAACGGGAGTAGGACGCTGCTTGTTGTCGGGCTGTTTACACGAACGTCATTACACCACGCGAGACCTACTTTGTAATTTTATTTGCACTTAGCATGTTGTATAGTATTACGATTAGTTATCGGGAAATGTCATAAACCCCAAAATTTACTATCACGACTCCCTGTGTGCATTACGTCAATATTACTACTCTCATTCAATATGTCGCCTGTTTGGCCCTAGGTTGTTACCAGTGCGATGTATTGACTGGTCCAGGGTGCGATATCGTTCTCACCTAGACGCAGCTGCGCCCTTCATTAACAATAAATCAGACGCTAATTATATTAAGAAAAGAGCATGTAAACTCACACCGTGTAACCTGCATCGCAGAGAGGCTCTCCAGGGGGATTCCTGACTTGAACAGTTCCCCTGGAACAGGTGACGTAATTGATCGGGTAGTCAGATATCAAATTTGCAAGAGCGATTTTCTTTGAAAAGCTACAAATAAGTTGTTTTGGGTTGTTTTGTTTTCTTTCTTTGTTGTTTAACGCCGCATTAAGCAATATATACCAGCTGTATGTCAGCGGTCTGTAGAAAATCGAGTCTGGACTAGACAATCCAGTGATTGATATCATGAGCACCGATCCTTGCAATTAGGATACGTTGACATGCATCAACCAAGTCAGCTAGCCTGGCCACCCGATCCCGTTAGTTGCCTCTTACGTCATACAGCCTCTTACGTGTCCACACAGCCCATTCCTATATATACATACCCACGTGTCCATACAGCCCATTCCTATATATACATACCCACGTGTCCATACAGCCTATTCCTATATATACATACCCACGTGTCTATACAGCCTATTCCTATATATACATACCCACGTGTCCACACAGCCTATTCCTATATATACACACCCACGTGTCCATACAGCCTATTCCTATATATACATACCCACGTGTCCATACAGCCCATTCCTATATATACATACCCACGTGTCCACACAACCCATTCCTATATATACATACCCACGTGTCCACACAGCCTATTCCTATATATACATACCCACGTGTCTATACAGCCTATTCCTATATATACATACCCACGTGTCCATACAGCCTATTCCTATATATACATACCCACGTGTCCACACAGCCCATTCCTATATATACATACCCACGTGTCTATACAGCCTATTCCTATATATACATACCCACGTGTCCATACAACCCATTCCTATATATACATACCCACGTGTCCATACAGCCTATTCCTATATATACATACCCACGTGTCCATTAAGCCCATTCCTATATATACATACCCACGTGTCTATACAGCCTATTCCTATATATACATACCCACGTGTCCACACAGCCCATTCCTATATATACATACCCACGTGTCCATTAAGCCCATTCCTATATATACATACCCACGTGTCCATACAGCCTATTCCTATATATACATACCCACGTGTCCACACAGCCCATTCCTATATATACATACCCACGTGTCCATACAGCCTATTCCTATATATACATACCCACGTGTCCATACAGCCCATTCCTATATATACATACCCACGTGTCTATACAGCCCAATCCTACATATACATACCCACGTGTCCATTTACCCCATTCCTACATATACATACCCACGTGTCCGTACAGCCTATTCCTATATATACATACCCACGTGTCCACACAGCCCATTCCTATATATACATACCCACGTGTCCGTACAGCCCATTCCTATATAAACATACCCACGTGTCCATACAGCCTATTTCTATATATACATACCCACGTGTCCATATAACCCATTCCTATATATACATACCCACGTGTCCATACAGCCCATTCCTATATATACATACCCACGTGTCCATACAACCTATTCCTATATATACATACCCACGTGTCCATACAGCCTATTCCTATATATACCCACGTGTCTATACAGCCTATTCCTATATATACATATCCACGTGTCCATACAACCTATTCCTATATATACATACCCACGTGTCTATACAGCCCATTCCTATATATACATACCCACGTGTCCATACAACCTATTCCTATATATACATACCCACGTGTCCATACAGCCTATTCCTATATATACATACCCACGTGTCTATACAGCCTATTCCTATATATACATACCCACGTGTCCATACAACCCATTCCTATATAAACATACCCACGTGTCCATACAGCCCATTCCTATATATACATACCCACGTGTCCATACAACCTATTCCTATATATACATACCCACGTGTCCATACAGCCTATTCCTATATATACCCACGTGTCTATACAGCCTATTCCTATATATACATAT